TGATAGGTGGGGGGCTATTAAGTAAGACTACTTAGCCTGAAGACATATTTGAGTGTTTCTAAGTGACTCATATTTTTCTCTAATGATGATGAAGACAACATATGATGTGATAATCCATTAGAGTATGTTTTACATTTTCTCCTGCTAGTCTTATTTATTTCTTATGCTCTTATTTATTACAACAAACACATGCAAGACATATTAAGACGCAGACCACAACGTGCGTGATTTGAGTCTGGCTGGTGACCTTTGTTGAACATCTTTTTCCGTCAATTCCGGTCATCTTTTCATTGTCTGTAATAAAGGAACAAAATGCCACATAAAATAGTTGAAAGCAGTGGAAATCGTATGCTGTTAGGGTAAGAACCAAGGGTAAAGACATCATCTCTTATTGATTTTTGTCATTAAATCAATACCACAAATCATACAGGTGAAGGGTCAGATAAGGAGAAGTAGCTCATTTAGAGAAGGATTTTATTGTTTTAGGGTAAGATTTCCCTAATATTAGCAATAATTAAACAGTTTTTTACTGTTTGTGTACCAAATTAACCATGTCAATGACAAATTTCCATTGTCTTATGGAGTTAGTTTTTCTGATTCTGATTCTGGTTGTATAAGTTCAGTGTTTTTCAGAGGGAGATGCATTTTAATCTCTGTACCACAAAAGCAAAAGTGTTTTTTTAATCCATTTGAAAAGAATGGATGTGTTTGTTAAGTTCTTTTGAAATGAAAGAATCACCCAACCCAGCCTCCCACTATTTCCACTTACATTTATCATCTATTATCATGATTTTTACACATATTGAAGCCATCTGCCTTCACCTTCATGTGTCTTGGCTGGTAGAGTTTAAGAGACACGTTTAACCTTTATGTACCGCATTAAATGTTTCAGTAAAATTGCCGTGTTAGTACGTGTGGTTGCTACACCCAGTTTGTTTGTGCACCAAAGATAAAAGTGCTTGATGTCCATCCAACTCAGAGCACTGTTTTTAGTGATAAGGGCCAGATCATACCCATAGCTGCGCTGTTCTGGGCCGTGGAACTGAGCCATTTTGTTTCAGCTAATTCTGATGACTCAAATCCTAACGAAATGAGACGTACATTGGGAGATGGAGCGAGAAACTCCCACACATCTCAGTAGTTGAGTATTATATGAAATTCATATTGGATGAGAGGTCTATTTTTAACTTTTATTCATGCAGGGAATGTTTCCTGAGTGTGAGTGCTCTTGTTTCAGGATCACCCTGCTCTACACTTAAACAGATATTTACACCTGGAAGCTGCCCAATACAACCACAGTCTGATCTGGTCCACTGGAGCAGATGGAGGTTAAGAGCCTAGCTGAAGGGCATCTCAGTGGGGGTAGCAAGCAAGGGACAAGCAGCGCTCTTTTACTTCCTTTCCTAGATTTAATCTGCTGGTTCAGGGATTGAACCACAGATCTTCCGGTCATAATCCCATTTATTTGACTTTTTAATATTTCAATACAAGCTTTATAAGAGTGTGGAAACCGATGCATCTATCCATCATGTCACATATATATTGTTGTTTCTGAGTATGCGTAGTTCAGGTATGTCTGATTTGTAGCCAATATCTCAACAACTACTTGATAGATTGCCATGAACTTTACTACAGACATCCATGCTCCTCAGAGGATGAATGTTAATGACTTTGTTGATTCTCTAACTTTTCCTCAGTGCAACTATGAGGTTGACATTTATGGATATGAGTAAAATGTCTCAACAATTATTTGATGGATTGCCATGAAATTTGGCTCAAACATTCATGTCGCCCTCAAGATTCACTGCAATAATTTAGCGATCCCTTTCACGTTCCAAAATAATCAGGTTAAAAACTGTATTTTTCCTGTACTTTTGATTAAATTGATTGATTAAATTGATTAAATTCCCTTCAGCCTAAGCTGTACTTTGTGCTTACCGCTAATTAACAAATGTTAGCATGCTAACACGCACAACTTAGATGGTGAGCATTATACCTGCTGAACATCTGCATGTTAGCATTATGAGCATGTTAGCATGCTGACATAAGCCTTTAGCCCAGAGCACACCTAAGTACAGTATCACAGCGCCAGTAGCTGTAGACTCTTAGTCTTGTTCCCTTAATATTTAAATTATTAAAACAGCTCCATTCATTATGGAGCATTTTTGCCTCTGTCTCTATAGAGATTGCAGGATCGAGCGATCATGACCGACTTCAGTTCAGTTATTATTGTCCTAAAATGTACTAGAAATCCTGTGCAGTTTCTCTTCCTCAGATAATTCCTCACAAATATATAGTCGATTTGTCTGGAGTGCGTACTCAGAGCTGGCTGTGAAGCAGGACTAATGGCTGTCATAAAACAATAGTGTAAGTCTGTGTCCTCTCCGTCCGTCCTCACTGTTGTCCTCAGAGTGGAGGAGATAAAATGCTTGAGCACATATCCATGAATGGTAATTTAATTGGTCTGGTTTGGCCTGATGTCAGGGACAAACAGGATAAAATGCACATAAACCTCAGATGAAAGTGGATGCTTTTAACATTGTCACAACATCTACAGTAATGTTTAATTCAGAGCGGAGACATTGAGACCTCTGATTGTGGTTATTCAGCGACACACTCATTTTCAAATGTGTGATGGGTTAAAGTCATTCAGAGTCATTTTCTCAATAACTGAGTTTCCGTCTCAGTATATTATAACATGTTGGCTGTTTGTAACATCAGCCTACATAAAGGCAACACAAGTTATTTTAGAGGCATATATTTTAAGACGTATAAACTGGTCCTGGCCCCTGAATAATATAAGCTTATCCTTCCCGCTGTCAGCCTCAATTTGAATAATTTATCTGTGGCAACAAATAGAGGCAGAATCTCTGGCACCAACTTGGAGAATTGGCACTTGAGAAATTGGAAATTCCTTTTTTTTTTGCCCGTATCACCATGACTTTAATAAAATCACCAGCAGAAGCCTCCTCTTGTTATGCTTGTCATCTTTCTCTGCTTTCCGAATCGAGGTCTCGGCTAATCACTCATCACTCTGTCGACAGGCGGCTTTCAGCTGCACTTGTCACACTGTGATTTCTGGAACCGATAAGAGCTCTGATTGAACATTTGTTTGGCCTGTGGAAACACTGACGAGAGAATGGCTTGTAGTTGTTCATTTTCTGTCTTTCTACGGTTAAACACCTTTCCTGGTCAGGCACTGTTGGCTTGAGTACAGAGCAGCGTCCAGACAAAACAAAGGTGTGATACATTGGGAATTGATAGTTATTTCTCATAAATATTGTCAGTAACTGATCTCAAATCATTGTCCACTGACCTCACAGCACTGAAATATGCTAGAAACACTATGAAATGGCAGACTGTGGTGTAGACTGCCACAATCAATCATTTTACAAAATAAATTCTTGTGCACTTCCTCAGCGGAAATGGATTGTATGTTACAAAGCCAAAAGGTTCAGACCTTGGCTGAGTCATAAAAAAGAGCTTTGTCATATGTTTCCAAAACTTTGTCGCAGTTGTTTTGCACTTCCTGTATTGTACAGGAGTTGTGGACAATGTATCAAATTACTTTATGTGCAATTTTCACTGTATAAGTCACATGTTCCATCCTTTATGAATCATCAACACTCACACAAAGATTTATTCTTCTGTGTCATAGTGCTGCAGCCTGTATGAAGAATCACTAGATAATTTTGTCCTTACAAGCAAGGTGCTTCCAGCTGTCTCTGTTTTTGACATGGATACATGTGCATTGGTGGGCAGAGAGGTGTTTTGCAAAGAAATATTTCACTTTGATTTGATCCAAATGTATTAAACAATACACTATTTAGGTCATACTGTAACTATTCAACTAAAAAGAACTGAATGACATATCCACGGGACGTGTTTGAACTGTCAAGAACAAATTTTAATTAAAAATGTAACAGATTTAAATTAAGTTTATGGGTTTAACGGCAAACCTTGTGGATGGCTCTACTTGTTTGTATTTTTATTAATATTTTAATTAGTGTGTCTGTGTTTGATTACTGCTTTATGTGGATGAATTGTCTTGTAATTTGTTCTCAGGTTCATCTCATAAAAAAAGATCTTGATCTCACTGAAACTTACATCATAACAGATAAAAAAAAGTTCCCTTATTTTACCAGTGATTGCATCTGTGGAACCTGAGACACATCAGTGGAAAATCTTGCAAAACCAGTTTCAGTTGGCTTCTCTGTTTGTGCTCGGGGGTAGACCTTTTGAACATGTACTCTCTCAATACCTACCTACTCAGCAGCTGCAGAAAATCCAATATGACTGAAATGTTCTGCCAGTGCTCCCAAGTCACATTACATTGTATTTATACACATATACACATTTATAAAGAGACTTTAGGGTTCAGGACACTTCTGCATGCACATGGGGGCCAGGGACAGAACAACCAATCCTACAAAAGCGGACCCCCTCTACCTGAGCTGTAGCCACCTTTTGATCCTTTTTTGTTACTTTTTTGAAACTGATTCTATCAAAAGTCTTAAGTAACACAAACTCAATTCTTTAGATTAGAAAATATTCTTTTTTAAGCTGTCATTTTAACAAGCACTAACTTAGTTTTGTTACAGAGTTAGAGAAACATTCCTAATTAATAACATTTTACTAGGTATTTTCTTTTCACAGTACAAATAAAAATGACAAAATTAAGTCACTCTCACTTCAAATTACTAAAGCTACTTGATAAAGAAGGTTATTTTTAACTTTAGTAAGTTACATTTTAAAATATTGTTAGTTTTACTCAAAAATGTTTAGGTAATCAGTTTCAACAGTTGTTTGAGTTAAATGAACTTATCTGGTTTAACAGTGATTCATTATTTGTCTCCAAAATAAAAATTGGCTAAACGACTCAACCTATTACCGAGCTACTGTCAATAACTGCATGTGAATTTTGACACACATACTCACGAGTTTATCTGAGCGCTGGCCTCTCTTAATGACAGTGTTTTCATGCTGTTGGTTTTTTTCAGGGACTGTGTGTGCAACCTAAATGTCGAAGTGGAACTTGTTCAGGCATCAGACAACACCAATGGTCGCTGCTCAGACAACGGGGGCTAGTGCCTTGACTGTGACTCCAGCCCCTGTCGCATTAGTCTCCACTGACAACTCTACCGAACCGGTCAACAAGAACGATGCCTTCGACGAGATCAAAAACAAGTTCCTGAATGAAATCGACAAGATCCCACGTGAGTGTTGGACAAAACCCAAACCTGTTCCGATCAACCAACTTGTATTGATGTGATTCTAAGCAATGATTTTGGAATTAGATTTCCTTTTTTGCTGCAGGCATTGGCTGCCTCATAATGTCTTTATTTAGTATTGATCACTGGCTGCCCTTCCTAATGGCAGAGAAATCTAATTTTCATCCAATCTAATTGCTAACGTAGCACCTCTCACTAAATATATTTGGCCCAGGACATGACATGGAGTAAATGATTGGTTGGTCAAATGTCAAAGTATTTGCTTCTTTCTTCTCTTTCTGGGTGTGGATGTGCCATCTATACATTGGTCTGTATATTCTCCTCAGTGCCGTCCTGGGCCATCATTGCCATTGCCGTGGTCGCTGCTTTACTCATTCTAACATGCTGCTTCTGCATCATCAAGAAATGCTGTTGCAAGAAGAAGAAGAACAAGAAGGGCAAGAAGGGGAAGGGTGACATGGGAATGAAGAACCTGAAAGGGGGAGAGGTATGTTCCACCACGGGAGGTCGCATCACGGCCGAGGGGATTTACACCCACACTGCGCACAGAGTAAAGCGCACCACAGCTAACTTTAGCTTGTTCATGAGCCTATTATATAACAGCTGTGGGGCTTACAGTAATAGAGAGACAACATGCATGTATTGATAGGTTTGATTCAGCTAATTATAAAACAAGCGATAATTTAGAACAGCAGTCCTCGTGTTGCACATTTTAGTCACGTTTCCTGTTTGAAATGTATTAGATTACATATCGTTGATACAGACTGTTAAACTTTTTGATGGCATTCTAACCCAGTCAGTGTATTCTCCGCAGGTGTTAATTACATTCTTTATCCACCATGACTATGTTTTATTTTTCTCTTTCTTTTTTGTTATTTAATGTATTTGTCATGAACGTTATTGTTGCTTTTTTTTCTCTCACTTGTGCTTTGGGACTTGAGTGGAAAATGACAGGACTCTTATCTATTCAGCCTAACCATTGTTTTCCCAGTCATTAAAGAGTAATTATGAAAATAATTAGTAGTTAGCACAATGCTTTTTTTGGGGCCTATAATTATTATTTTCTTCACATGCATGACTGATAATTTGACAAAGTACAATAAGAATACATCTAAAAGAGTTATTTTAAAAGCCAACGGCCTTGCTGCACTAGATATGATTGTGCTAATGAGGAGGCTTCTCTATCTGTCATTTTCCTCGCTCCCTACAGTGTAGCTGACTGCATTTGCTGTGATTACCCTTCTTTGGTGTCTGCTGTGAGTTCAATCTCTGCCTTTGTCTCTGCTCTCCTCCTTCCTGCTTTGTGTCTTATGTGTGCTCCGTGTATCTTGACTGTGGTGGACTTCTCTGCCTACGGTAGGTCTGACAGCACGCGGCGCCCCTCTCTGGCCGCTCTGTGTAAGCGCAGACCAGGGCAGGGGGGAGCGTTGGGTGGGGGTGGGCTGGGCTTGGAGGGGTTGGATTGCAGTGATGATGACAATGAGTGCTATGGCTTCCTTAGTTTTTTGCAAGCTTAGGTGCTGTGGGTGCTTGAGGAATCTATGGGAGCGATTAAGCTGCTTCGCAAAATCCACTGAACTGATATGCCGCACCAACTGCTATGTCTTGAATATCCAGAGATTGCATTTTTTGGCAAAAAGAATAGAACAAAGATGTGTTTAAGTGTCTATGGTTTGAAATGAACATGAAACTCATCCTATGGTTGAGCCTTTGAATGACGAGTGCACTCAGCAACTCACTAGAGATCACTAACATGCATGTGCAAGGGGTAAGCTGGATATTTGTCAAATAATAGCTGAGTCTTTGCCTAACTGAGAGCTTTGAGCATGTTTCCACCATAACAGGCCTTGATTGTGCAACACAACCAAAAACTGGCATCTCACAAACAATTTATCTCCAGAGATACATTGACCTGGGTCTGAAATTCACACGCAGTGCCCAATTTGTGCAAACACGCTCAGAGTTCCACGACAGATAAAGCTGTTTGTATCTCTTGACAAAGACCAGCATATGCCCTTGCAGTAGGTACCATTGAATGGCCACAACTTGACTTGAGAGTAACTTTCCTGGATGACCCATGCTGCTGACATTCTAGGTGACAGTCATTGATGCCCTCTCTCCCTGAAGCACCTGGGTCTCACTGAGGAGAAATGGTGGGCCAGAATGTTTGCCCACATTTACAGTCAACTGCTGATTTCAGTCGATCCAAAGTTAAACCTACAATCAGTTAAAAATAACACATTATTCTTTGAATAAAACCTGAGTACTGAGCTCACAATTTTCTCCCACTGAGTTGACCAAAGGGCATACATTCAGACGTACCAAGTCTTTATCTTTGAACCCCCACTGGAAGTTTGAGAACAACTGTAAATTCTCAATATAGCATGATCCCTTCATGGATGTGTACATTTCACTCAGCAACACGCGTATAGAAATTTTTGGACCTGACAAAAATTTGTCATAGAGGTTTAAAACAGAACATCGAAGCATAACCTTTATCTGCCTTCAGAAATTATAAGGTAATTCATTTACATTTGCCATCAGTAAGAAACTCGGATCCTGCATTGTGTGGCCTGGCATGCTTGAATGAAGAGCATTTACCACAATAAAGATAGAGAATGCCACATATAAGGATATTCTATGAGAATGTGTGTGTGAGAGAGAGAGAGAGAGAAAGTGAGATTTTAAGCATGCATGAGAGCCTGCATGTAAGCAAATGTGTGTGTGCGCGTGTGTGTGTATGGGGGTGTACCATACAGTATGGTGTGTAGTGGGTATGATAGTGTGTGTATTATCTGTATGTGTGCCCTGTTCCTCTTCCAGCTCATCAGTGAGTAGCTGGACCCTCCAGTCTTACGAAGACATCAGTGTTTTTTCAAGAAGACAGCCATAGGAAAGTAGGCCATACTGAGATATTATCCAGCGTCATACAGTATCCAAAGTGAAAGTTTACTTTAATATTCACATCAGAGCAAATTGCTCTCACTCGATTAGTCATGACCGAGTCACTGAGTGTGATGTAAAGGCGAGAGATACATTATGCGAGGACTTGACTTATCGTCTTCATCAAGACCTGATAATCTCAAGAGCAGATAACTGACAGTGAACTGCTGAATTTTCTTCTAGCATATGATCAAGAGTCACAATAATTCACATTAGAGTATCAGCTGAAAAATCTGGACTCTGGAATAAATTGTGAAATATATCAGTAATTAAGTTAAGCTACAATAATGAGGCCAGAGTAATAACAGCAGCAAAATCCTATCAACAATACCAGTGTAAACACATTAATTAGACTTTGGGATGTCAGGAGGAGATAAACTGCAAACAGTAATAATGTCAGGCTTGAAATAAACCTGTTTGTCGAACAGCTTACACTATCAGTTGGAGGATATCCGTCTGCAGTTTTAGTTTGAGAGCTTTTCAAGAAAAGTGTCAAGAATCACTGCGTCAGTGGTTTGATCAAATCTGTTCCTCAGAGCTCTGTCCTTCAGTTCCTCTCAGTAAGGACACTCTGCTTCTTGTGACAGCTTGCATTTGAAATACTGTACACAGGGTGGACAAAATGACAAGAACACCTTGCACTATAGTGCAATGCGGTAAAATACAGTAGTTCTGCAGTAAATCCAAGTTTGAAGTGTTCAAGTTTTCTGACAAAAAGTCAGATCTTTGTGGTGTTTTGGAGAAAATATTCAATAATATTCTCCACCCTGTTTACTTGTGACTTTGGCTCATCTTTGCTGATACAGCTTTCATCTGTGTGGGCTATGCCGTCACAATTTTTCAGACTTTCTTAACTTTTAATGTAATATGACTCACTTGGGATGAGTCATATTTGGGATTTGTGTTGCGGCCCGTGTGACCACCCTTCGAAGTTGAAATCCTGTTTCAATCTATGTTCCCGTTATTTTGTCCATTCCCTGTAATATCCCAACTACAGGCAGCTACGCAAGTGAGTCATATTTATTTGTCAAAACAATTAGCAGTAATAAATGTTCACTATTTTGTGAAAAAAGGGGAACTTCCAGAGGTCTCTGCATGGCTGTTGTTTTAGATTGCAGTATATTGTAAGGTGTTCCTGTTTTTCTGTCCACCCCTTGTATACTGACTGTTTTTACTCTGTTGTTTCTCTCTTTTTCTCACTCTGTCTCTCTCTATCTCTCTGTACTCTTTGCACAGTAACATAGAGTCCTATTGAAATGGCATATTGTAGTCAAAGAGAAATTCCCCCACCTCTGATTTTAGCAGATTTTAACATACCTCATGAAAAAGAAAAAAAAAAAGAAAACAGCAAATGGTGTCACCCAAGAAATAGTGAAATCAAGTCAGGTTGCAACCGTGGTCATCGATGAACAGATTGCACTAGTAACACCGGGGTGAGCAGGGGTAAGTGGCAGGTAGGTGCTGTGACTAACCCGACTGCTGATGCCCGAGGTTTTGTGTTCAGCACAGCCGCCACCGCAGAACCGTCCTCTTACTCTTTCTCTTTGCCCCCAACCCCTTCTGTCTTTGCAGAAACAACAGGACGAAGATGACGAAGAAGATGATGTCGAACCTGGATTGACTGGAGACGAGAAAGAGGAAGAAGTGAAGGAGAAAGAAAAGCTCGGGAAGCTGCAGTACTCCATTGATTATGACTTCCAGGAGAACAAGGCAAGCAGACAAACTACTTGAGTAGCTTATTTGACATTTTCTTGTCAAGAGTCTGTCTGTCAGCATGTAAGCATCACACTCTACCACCATTTCCTTTGTGTGACATTTCATTGGCCTGTTTTTTTCTCGGCCAATAATCAAAAAAGAAAAACAGGATCATGAACTTAGTTAAGGATTTCGGGGTGTGAGCTGGAGAGAGAACTGAAAGACTGGGTGGTTACTGATTTTTAATGACATACTTCCTCTCTCCTACTTCCCCAGCTGGCTGTGGGAATCCTGCAAGCAGCTGATCTCCTCTCCATGGACAGCGGTGGCACCTCTGATCCCTACGTCAAGGTCTTTGTCCTCCCTGACAAGAAGAAGAAGTATGACACAAAGGTCCACAAGAAAACGCTCAACCCTGTCTTCAATGAGTCCTTCACTTTCAAGGTTAGCCGAAACACCTCGTGGTCACCTTTTCCTTATAAGTTATTAAAGCAACACATACGTGAAGCTGTTTGATAGGTAGACAGGTCCTGGTAAAGGTGAAATGCTCCTCTTGTCTGTCTCTACTTCCAGGAGTGCTTAGTAGGTGCTTAGATTCTGATTTCTTTTTCACAAGCACTACTGGCCTGGCTGTGATAAAAAGCAGCAGACACATTGAAGGTGTCCGACAAGGAGAATGTGGTAGAGAATCAAATTAAAGGAGAGGGCCACCTCTGGTGCACCTTGCCTGCTGACACAGGTCTATAAAAAAACAATTCAAACAGCTTTTCCTTGTCAAAGTCAGGCTAGTTTTGCTGAGGCTGCATGTTATTAAGGCAGGGGATTTTGAGCTCCAGGCCAAAGTCACAACCCATATTGCTGTATAGTTCTGATCTGACCTGCACTTTAAGGCCACGGTTTTCTGTCTTCCAGATTCCATTCCAAGAGATGGGAGGGAAGACTCTGGTAATGTCCGTCTATGACTTTGATCGCTTCTCTAAACATGATGTCATCGGCGAGATTAAAATACCCATGAACACACTTGACCTGGCAAAGGCAATTGAGGAGTGGAGAGACCTGGACAGTGCAGATCAAGAAGAGGTAAGAGTGTTGCATTTACCACGCTGCAGTTTTTGTCCATTACTTCCGCTGATGTGAGTTGTAGAGATGTGTGTTTTATTAGACTTTTGAGGCCGATACCATGATCAATATTTGAGAGTTTGAGAATGTATTTGAGAATCCAATAACAATATATTGGCCTTTTTATATTTTTTCTATAAAACCATAAACAAACATACTTCATAAGAATCCCTGAAAAAGATGATACCTTTTTATAATAACAATGTATCAAATGACAATCTGAAAACAATGTGAAAGGGGTTGCTTGTAGTTATTAACCTTCAGAGAATCATCATCTGAATCTGTAGCTGCCCGTAGCTTTATGGAGCTTTATAGCGAGTTTCAGCTCATCGTTTAGCTGTCCGACCTGCAACTTTAATGCTTTGATTCACTCCGACTGCTGTTTTCAGATAAAAAGTTATATTCAGATAAAAACACCCTGTACACTACGTGCTCAGTACCAAACAGCAGACCGACAATGTCTGTGACTAGTGAGTGAACATAGTGGAGCATTTAGCTAAAGAAGATGTTGTTTCTCTCAGGAGCTGGTAGAGGCTTAGAACAGAACTTCAAGCGATGGCTCCAAATGAATGATAATATTGCTGGATGTGAACTATATAATGGGTGACACTACATTACCTTCAGTACATGAATTTTGAATTTTGAATTTTATTATTATTGTGTCATGTATTAGCATGCCCAGCCCACAAGCGCTTACAAGACACCATTATAAAACATAGACAGACCAAAAACCAAAAGTAGTACATCCTTGACATTTTTGTAATTTTTGCAATTACATACAGATAGATATGTATTGATACAATGATATCTGAAATGAACAACTGATATTATTGGTATATGGACCAATTTATTAGTCCGACTCTGTATGTTCACTATAGAACCTTTTAGTTAATACAATATATAATACACAGTTTTTCAATATAGAGAAACCTGAACAGTTTACTCAGCTGATGACATAGTACAAAAATAACCATGAGCACAGGGTGGCAACTTTGTCTGTTTACCAATGAGATTCAGAGGGCTGAAGGACACATTTTTGTTTTTCTAACCAACTGTGTTGCTTGCTCTGTAGCCATGCAACCTATTATGTGGTGTTTTCATCATTATGCTGTACCAGAATATGAAAAACATGTTTTAATCAGCGAAGCCTCCCCAGAGCCACCTTAAGAAGAAATACTCACTGTTGTAGTTTGCAGTTTCAGATGTTTTATAAGCTTTGAAAAGACTAACTAGATGTACTCAAGAATACCGTTAATTCCTGCTGCTAAGACAAAAACAAATGGCAGCAGGTGTAATTTGTACTGAAGGTGTAAATTTAATATGGAATTCCTAAGGGACGGTTTGTATATTTATGTAGTGTACTGTACATGAGAGAAAAGAGTTCTGCGTCAGACCTCCTTTAACTTTTTCTCCCTGGCCCTTTTCCTCACAGCCAGAGAAGCTGGGTGACATTTGCATCTCTCTGCGTTACGTCCCCACGGCTGGCAAACTTACCATCTGTATTCTGGAGGCCAAGAACCTGAAGAAAATGGACGTGGGTGGACTGTCAGGTATATAGACAGAGCTGAGCATCAGACATTTATTATCACATCATCACACTTGACACTATTTGAAAAAAAAACAACAACTTTGGTCCGCTTAATGTGAATTTTGGATGCTTGCAGTGGGACTGCAACATATAAAGGAGCGTGCCTGTGAGCTCAGCCATTAGGTCGGCCCTGCTCTGCTCACGTGCTGACGTTGCAGTACTTACCATGCACCAGCTCTCGCCCCCCCTGGCTTCAGCATTGGCCCCATCTGTTGGTGCATTACAGCACTGCAACCCAAACATGCATGTGCAGTCAGATTGTATCTATCATGCCTTTTGCCTTCTTTCCATTTTTAGATCCTTATGTGAAGATTAACCTGCTGCAGAATGGAAAGAGGCTGAAGAAGAAGAAGACGACAGTGAAGAAGAACACTTTGAATCCGTACTACAACGAGTCCTTCAGCTTTGAGATTCCTCTTGAGCAAATGCAGGTAAAGACAAGGACTAACTTGTTAAAATCCTCTGTAGATCTATCAAGGGTGAAAAGAGAATCACAATATCTTACTGTAATAAAAATGCTGTTGGTGTTGGCTCTGTAAAGCAATCAAATATTCCCAAGTTGAGGATGGGAATACACCTGTATATATGAGCAATATTTGATGAATTATCACCATCATCCTCTAATTAGATAATTGGAAAAGTACATGTACTATACTAGACTATAACCAGTCTTGGGAGTAATCACATAATTAACATGCTAAGTATAAAACTTCTGAAACAAGATATTACAATTTCTGCCTCTTAGAAATGAAAAGTTAAATTAATAAGCAATAAAATGCACCCTTGCTCAGTTAAATACACTGAAGAGTTTTTCTTCTACAGCCTTATTTGGTTTGATGTGACCAGTAGCTTATGGCGGCTAATGTGTCCAAACTTTAGATAGATATCGCTGTGTTGCTAACATTATTGAGACAGTTTACTGACTCTGTGATTATATTGCTTTTAAAGGAATAGTTGACAGTGACATTTTGGGAAATGCTTTTATTCACTTTGTTGTCAAGAGTTACATAAGAAAATCGATACCACTTTCATGTCAGTCTGGTAAGTATAGGGCTACCACCAGCAGCCAGTTGGTTAGCTTAGCATACTGTAAAGTCTTGAAGTTTTGCTATCCATAGTTAGATATCTATTTATATCATCAAGATAAATATCTATCCATCTATATCTATCACTATGAGGTTGCATGGCAACCAGCAGAGACTCCAGGAAGTCACTACTACTGGCCAAAAAATTATCTAGCACATGACTTCCCAAAAACTACAACTTGTTTTTACATTTAGTTTTTTTGTGCTGATTAAACAAACAAGCTAAAATGTGTTGATTAATGAGATATTATTATTATTAGTCGGCTGACTGTGGCCTTTTATTTACTGTACAGTCATGAGAGTGGTATTGATTTTATCATCTTATTATTGCTATAAAATTATCCAATAATTGACTCTTGTGGCCTGTTCGTGGCTATGCATACAGTGCATACAAACTAATCTTTTTGGATATAATATGCTTATTGATTTCCTATATTGTTTATCTAGCAAACAATCAACAACAACAAATCAGCATGAAACATGCAATATATATATTTTATGCAAAAAAATGTAATTACGTGTCCTATGTAGTTTACAATAGGAAATACCTACAAATCAAATCTTTAATTTTTATGAAAATGGAAGTAAGCAGGACACTGAAGTCCCAGCCCCCACTGCCCCCACAAAACCCCCTGAGGGTTCTGATACCAACCATCGCACTGGGACCAAACCCAAACACTGGGCATTATGCACCATCAACTACAATACTTCTTTCTGTGAAAGCAGAATTTCTGTCTTTCCACCCCTCATATCCGTGTAAACATCACGGCATTCTGACTCTTCTTGTAATGCTTTCTCTCCATTCTCCCAGAAAATCCAAGCTGTGATCACAGTGCTGGATTATGACAAGATTGGCAAGAATGACGCCATTGGGAAAATCTGGGTGGGAAGCAAGTCCACAGGGGCCGGGCTGAAACACTGGTCCGACATGCTGGCCAACCCCCGTCGCCCCATCGCCCAGTGGCATCCACTGCAGCCAGAGGAAGAGGTGGATGGCGCCCTCGCAGCCCTAAATGCCAAGAAGTAAACTCCCAACGGAACACATCGTTCCCACTTCCACCTACCTACCCATGCATTTCCCATCATTCCCCAGGTCCCACATATCAGTGTATATTCCAAAAAAACACCCTAACTGTACATCTGCTCCCTCCACCCCCACTCCTTTCCCTCTGCCACCTTTCAAAAGATCCATAGATACCATTCAACATGATGGGAAATATAGTTTAAAAAAAACATCATGTTATATGAATTCATGTCATTGAAAAAAGAAGACAAGTAACAGGATGGACAGATACTCCGTTGATTTCCTTTAGATCTATTTTTGTATTGGGGTTGTGGTTCCATTAATAAGAATACAGAGTAGACTATGAAGAACAGTAAGAGTGCTATATGGTAATCTGGTGATAGAGGGGATAAAACATACATTCACTCATATTGTACTTCTCACCCCTTCCCTTTAGTGACACAGTTTGCTTAGAATAGTGCTTAATAATAAAAATGCTTTATACTGCCATATGATAGAGAAGTAACACAAGCAGGTCCATTCCTTAGGTGTATTATACACCACGTTCCACACCTGCCAGTTATCATACTAGATGATTCTGTTAGTTTGAAGTACATTCCTAGAGTTGGGTAGCAAGTAGGGATAGGCACATATCCAGTTACCCACAAACACACTGCCTTTTTGATTAGTTAACCTTCCACCCATCGTCTCAGGAAAACTGAGAGGAAACTGAAACTCCATGCCTTTTTTTATAAACGGGTTGTTATTATTCAAATACTCCACTTGATGAGAAAGAAACGTTGGATTCAAAAGCTTGACCGCTTGTTTTTTTTCGGTGACGTAAGGCTCACGACTAGTGTTAGTTTATCCATGAAATGGTATGTCAGGGAACAGGGAGTGATGGGTTTTCAGTAGTAAAAAAAAAGGGTATTTGTGTATTTTTTGACTGTGCAAAAAGGCTGCGTCTGTCATCTGTACGACAAAAAGTGAGGAAATATCAGAGCAGGTACAACAGAGACTGATTCCAACCACCAATGACATGATATTTACAAGGTGTCGATTACTGCCTGCAGTCTACCACCTCCCCTCCCAACGCCTCTGATTCTGTATCTCACTTGTTCAGTGCTACTGCCATTAGTCATGGACTTGACACAAGGGTTTTACTTCAAAGGAATCCCTATAACCGTCTTACAGTCATAAAGGAGACAAGCCTTCAAAGTAACAAAATAAGCAATTTTCAACTTACCAGGGACGCCTTCCAGTTAGCGGTGTTGTTCTCTTCATTTCTTATTTTTTCTATCTCTTTTTCCTTTGATTTATCCAATTGTATTTAACTTTATTTAACTTCAAACTCTTTTATTCCTCAAGCACTTTAAATCCAAAATGTTACGTTTAAGTACCCTCAGAAACCAGAGCTTTAATTATTTATGTTAGGAATAACTGCTGGTTAAAATAAGAAAAAAGAGCAAGGGAGTGCATTATGTACGCAGTTTTTTTGTTGTTGCTTTGTTTCCGCTCAGCTTTTTGTGTATGTGTTTTGATTGTTTGAATATTACGTTTCTCACTTGATTGCAAGGATATGGTCTGGAAGAAGGCACTGATCCATGTGTATTTTATACACAGCTTACCAAACTGTTGAATTTAATTGCACTACTGGGTATTATTCTGTTCTGTGGTAATTTGACACTGTTCTTTGATCTGTGTAGTTTTTTTTATTGATAAAATGTTGTGAGATTGAATTTTTCTGTGGCATATGTGGCATGCCAGAAAGGTCTCCTCATATAAATGGACTCCTCTGATACGAAAAGAGACACGTTTCAATCTAATGCTGTTCCCTGGCTCCTTCACAGGATATAAGTGGTTCAGTATTTGTAATTTAATATTCTGATGAAGAGAAATTTTGAGGATGAACTTTGTCCAAACTTGTTGGACTCATTAGTCCTAAATAAATTGGTGGAAGCTTAATTGTTAATTAAAATCCTGATATGTAAGGTGCTTGGGCCCCACTATACCTCCTTACAGGGCTAGTTATTAACTAAAATCAGTGCTGTCTGTGAGCACCAACAGCAAAAACTACCCATTGACTATGTGTGCAAGAAAATGCCAAGTCAATCTAAATCAAAGGTAGACAGTACCGCAACTTTTGGGGGGGAATTTAATGAATGTTGGCTCTTGTATCTTTCTCTGTTGGAAGTTGTTACACCTTATTTTTTTATAACCAACATAGACCATGTTCAAATTTCTGTTTCTCATATTTTTTCTTCTGTTGATGAAGCAGCACTAAAGAAAAGGCAACATGGAAGCAATCAAGCAACCCATTGGTGTGTAGTTTTGCCTATATACATAGTTCATACACGTTGATACTGCATGTTTATACAAAATACTGTACATAAGAGCATGTTTTAGAGACGAAGCAAAAATATCTCGTGTACGTAAATGGGTGTCATTTGTCATTTTAATAACACAACGAAGGGAAAAAAGATGCACTGTATATTTTCTAAAATGAAACAAATGTGTATTTATTTTCCATGAGGGTCATTGGAGAGAATGTCATACAAATATTAGAGTACTATTACTAATAAGAACCTTTCCACGCCTGAAATTCTTAAGCAAGTGTGTCGTCCAGTACTGTGTGTGAGTTCATGTAGGATGAAAATGTAGCCGCATGCTTGCTATCTAATTCCTTGTGATCCAGATTTTAATTTGATAACATTTATCTGCCATACATTTAGTTTCAGCACTTATCTGAAGGCCAATGTTTGACTTATTTCTGAATTTGATTCCTATTTCTAATATTATTTTTTTTTTTAAAGATATCTTTAAAATTTGTAATGTTTGGGATCGGGGCGGGGGGGGTCTCCAAGTCTATAAGATGACTATTTTCTATGAACAGATTTGGCACGGTTTTTTTCTGAAATAACTCTTTAGAAGAAGATTGAATAATTCTGAGATCGTAGGTGGATTGTAGGAGTTGTCATTTGTGCCAGTACTGACCCAGATTGAAGTCTGTTGGATCATATCTTTGTATGAAATGCATTTCCAGGGGCCAAAAGATGAATAATCCCATTCCAGTGAACACAAAATGACTTGGAATCCCTTCTTCTCTCTCTCTCTCTTTACCTGGACGTATTTATTTTTCACTTCTATTTAAATGACCTGAAACCCTTCAAGGCTGTGTCTCTTTTACTGTGTTTATTATACAATATGTGTATGTGTATACAAGATAAATGAATAAGATAAAACTAAAGCCATAAAACTCAAGCACTAACTCTTTAGAGCTCAGCTGAGTAGCTAGAGTTTATTTATGAAGAAAAAAAATCTGACATGTCTTCATTTTCCTTGGCCAGTGTTTCTCTTTTACATTCCGTTCAGAGGTCTTTGTTCATCAAGAGGGCAAAATCCATTTTACTGTATATGTGAGCATTGAGAACAGTTGTGAGTTTAGTAGAGTGAGTGTGTCTTTTTCTACTTTCAGAGCTGTTGATGTCCTTGTTTCATAGAGGTAGCTGATTTTCCAGTATTGTGATTAGTAATGTATATGCCTTGTTTTGATAGTATGAATAATAGATATAATATCACAATAGGTTCTCAGTAATACTGCTAAAATTATATATAAGAGAGTGTGTTCTATTCTTGGGCTGAGTGCAATTTATGAATCAAACTGGACTACTCTTCAAGTTTCTCTTCTTCCAGTTTAGCAGCAGAATGTACTTGTGACTAAATGTACAATCAATAACACACTGCTGGTGATCTGCAGCTCACACTGGTGTTTTTTTGTTGGTTCGTTTAGCGTAATTCTCAAGCAACAAAACAATAGAGATCCAACAATATTAAAGCATAAAGAGAGAAACGTAATACAGTGGAACCCAGGTTTCAGGCCTGAATCCCTCCCATAGAACTATGCATAGAGTTATGGTTTTCACAAACACATGGCAAAAAGTATATTAAAGAAATACATTTTATGTCATGCACATGGTATGAATTTAAAGAAGCACTTCCAAATTTGGGGAAATAAGCTTATTTTCTTCTTATTTGCAGAGAGATGAGGAGATCAATAGCCACTCCCATATTTGTGGGATAAATAAGAAGCTAGGATTATGAGATGGTTAGTTTAGCTGAGCATAAAGACAAGAACCGAGGGAAAACAGCTAGCCTGGCCAATCTGTCCAACAATAACAAAATCCAGTTTTTCCTGGTCAAATTTAAGTTTGTAGGGATTAAACAAATGATATATAATGTGAATTAGGGCGCTTTAGAGGTGCTAGTAGGTAGATGTTTTTTGGATAGAGCCAGGCTAGCTGTCACCCCACCTTTGTGCTAAGCTAACTGTCTCCTGCCTCCTTACTGAAAGGACAGATAAGAGTAGTATCGATCTTCTCATTTAACTCTTGGCAAGAAGGCGAATATGACTATTTCCCAAAATATTGAATTGTTCCTTTAAGTTTACCTCAGTCGCTGGATTTTCTCTGAAGTAAAAGTTAAACTGCCATCTATCTATCCTGACAACAATCTTCGATGTGTTGTGTGACACTGCACATTGTCTAATGCAATATTATATTTATTCGCTGTCCCATTAATGCTATTGACTGTGACCAAATGATGCACTGAGAATAATTAAAATTCCAGGTTTCAGTGCGTTTCTGTAATACTGCCAGTACCTGATTACAGTTGCCTGCATCCGTCAACACTGTTTGAATCTACAAAGCCAAAATAACAATTCACGCAGAGGCAAACAGAAAACATCAGATGACGAGGCAAATGTGATTACAGGTACATTTATAGCACATTTAAGAGATTTATTTATGGATTTCCTTTCACTGCCTGGGTCGCCACAGTCACATGACCACCTAAGTTCTATGGGGGACAGAAACTGAGAGCTGTGTGTGTTTGTATATGTGGGAAATATAGATGAAGTGTTGGCCCTTTAGCAGACACGATGTGAAAATACAGCACTAGAATATATTAATACAATATACAGTACAGGTCTGCATGCATGGGACACATTACTCATTCTTAAATGTACATCTTTGTGTGTATGATCGTAATACTCAAACAATCTTGGTTATATTTTAAATATGGGGGTTATTCTGTTCTGTTGATAGCTGTGTAAATGTTCAATACCTTATGCACAACTGCATCTGAAACAATGTGCTGTTTCAGCTGTGCAGAGACAGTTTTAGAGCACCGTTCACACAACTAGTCGTGTTTTTTTAATTTTTTTTTGAACAAACGCTGGGATTTAAAAAGGGAAACCATCCAAAGTTCAATAGATCATTTACCACCTTGTCAAAATGTGTTGAGAAGCCTCTCAGCGGGTAAAGTCACCACTTTGAAACATGTTGTCTTGTCTCCTCTATTACTCACTGTATTTCTTCTTTGTATTCTTGTGCACATATGTAATCACTCCTGTCGTTTTTGTTTTTGTGATGTATATTTCTAATGTAGAATGTAGGACTGTATTTGAATCAACGCCAGAATCACATTTGCTTTTTGTTTGTGTCTTTGTCCTGTTTATGTGTAACCAGCTATGTACCATCAGTATCATTAAGCTGAATAGGAAGCAGGCTCGTTGATTTCCCCTCTGAATCTGCTTTTGCTGAGCGTAAAGAATGCCGGCCTTCATGTTTACAACATGGACATACTGTATACTGCCAAACATGCAGGACCGTACCAAACTCCCCTTTTGAGCGCTTAGTCCTCCACCTCTCATCCCTGATGCAACTGTACTCTCAAGACTCTTTTCTTTTTTCTTTTTCACCTCTTTCTCTTCTTCATCATCTTTTAAAGCGTCGGGGACAGTCAGGTTGTGTCCTCTAGCTGTGTTTCTTCGTGTCTAGTGTCGTGGTGCGCGTGTTCATGTCAGTACTTGTGCCTACTGTGGATCGCATGCTTTAGCCCTTGACTGGACACAAACGTTGCTCACAAACTCCTCTTGACCCTTGTGTGGACAAACGTTGGGGATCCTTATAAAGTTATCAAGGGAACCAAATAACTTATTACAAATTTATCATATGTGTTACCAGTTCTGTAAAAAAACAAATAGGAAATAAAGGCCTTTTAATTACCATGACTTGTTTGTGTTTAATATGCTGTGTGTTCAGCTCAGCTGGTTCCTAATAATCTCTCTGCCTCTGATGCATAATTTATTAATTTCACCCAGAGAAACACTTTCATTCCTCTACAGTTTATTAAGCAACGTGAGTAAACCGATGAGTGAATATTAAGCTATCATCAACACATTTCAAACATTTCAATACAATACACCGCATTTTCAATATATCTACAGCACAAATAGTTGACATGTACTGTATCTTCTTCGTAGTTTTGAGGAAATCAGTTTGCTAGCTGTGACACTGGTGTTGCGTCTTGTCGCCCTGGTTGAACTCCAAAACCCATCAAATTGTTAAAGGAATACATCAAACACTGGGAACGTCACCTAACCCATTAAGTGAAGAGAAGACAGATCCCAAAATCATTCATGTCTCCGGCACATCATTCAACACTTGTAGCAACTCTACAGCTGAAGGAATTAAAAATGTGAAGCTGAGTCTGACTGTTTTCATACATTAAATATAGTAAGATTCATATATAACATAGTTTTGAACTAGGCATGACTTTATCTACCTTCCCTCTTTATAGAATATAGTGAAGGTGATGACTAACCACTACAAGGCAGCCACCTCTTCAATGGTTTTAATTTTGTTTCTCATGTTAAGTAGACTAACTAGTTAATTTTTCAAATATTGAGTGGACCCGAAATATTGAATATTTTCAATGTATTGCACAACACAATAAAGTAGCACCAGTAAATATGGCCTACAAAATAACAAAAGTTGATAGGCTTCATAAAGTTAGGATTTATTGCAGGGGTGTAGTATTGGATTGTATTAGATGTATACCTAATACACTGGCAACTCAGAGTACTTAAGTAATTATTGATTTGACTTAAGTTATTGTGACAATAGTATAAGCACAACACAGTTAATTCAAAATGTATGCAATCTACCACATATAATGAAAAGTGCTAGCAACAGTTTACTCCTCAAACTTTGGATTGTGATTGATATTTAAGATCACAATATTGTTGACACTAAAATGTCAGCTGTGATTTTCCAGCGCGTCTACCAGTGGATGAGTTTGGCATTTGTATTTTTCATCACCTAACAGGAAGATGGCCAAGAGGTCAACCAAAATAATTGGTGTACTCCTTTGACAGAAAATGGAGTAAACAAAGTATAAAGGTTAAAACTAGGAAATGCATAAATAAATAAATATATATATATATCTATTATAAAACATTACATAGAACACTTTCTTTCACACACACACTCACACTGTCTTCTCTGTGTAGCCATTCTTCGGTTTTTAAGTCATTGGATGTAAAATCCTCTATGAAAGACAAAACCGAAAACGGAAGAATGGCTACTGAACCACACAAAGAGCTGATGCACAGAATCCGGCAAACACTAAATAACGTTATGTGCTGCTAGTGATGCCCAAGTGATCAAAGATCAGGACTGTCCACTCTATACAAAGTGCATATACCCAGTACTCTGCCTTTGAGGGCTAACATACGGCCCTCTTCAAACAACAAATACAGTGAGGATATTATCACATGTTAGGTAAACAAAATTCTCATTTTCATTTTTGAAACCAGTTGAAATGGTTAGCTGTTTGCTGATGCAATGCAATATATGTGAATATATCTCAAGGCCCTGATACTTGGACCATAGAAAATTGTCAAAAAGCATGGATGTTAAAAGTTTTGGATTGAAAGTTTACAGAACTTTGAGTTTTAAAATTCAAATTTAAGTGGTGTAAGCTGTGACCAACCTCAGAAAGCTGTCAAGGCAAACACCCAAAACATGCATCTTATTAAGATTTAATATCATTATCAGGTAGTACAAATTTCAAAATGATTTATTATCATATAAAAATGAATGAGAGAAGCTGGACATTTTCTCAATTTCAATACATTCTTAGTCTGGAGCAAACATCTAGTTGCCATTAGAAGAGCTGCACCTTACAGCAGCTTCTGTAAAGGCTTCAACTGTTATTGCTGATGCCTTGACAGATTTATATTAACTTCTAGTTTTAGCTTCAGGACCCAGATCACCTGTTTGTTGCTTGGTGGGGTTTTATTTTACCTGTACAGTCATATATTCTGTTTCAAATTATAAAGATTTTTATAATGCCAAACAAGCCTTTGGCATGGAAAAAATTATGCAATCGATGACATAAAGATTCAATGACAATGATATAATTTAGTGATGATGAATAATTGGCTTCTCTCTTCTTTCTTAAGTAAAACATTAAAATATTTCTGCAGTGCACAATGTAGCAACAAACGTGAGGTCTCAATGTAATGTGTGGGTATAATATTAGAAACAGTACCTTCATGCAAACCCCTGGATTTGTTTGAACCGGGCCTTAAAAGGTTATTCAAACAGTACAACTGGTCCCTATTTGGTTAGTGTAAAATACTATATATTACAAAATAATAATAACTAATCAAGTAGAAACAATTGTTGTAACTCCATCATCACATACATTGAAATCTGACTGAAACTTCTCAACACTTCTCTTTTGATCTTCACATCCCAACAGGAATTTATTTCTGCAAAGCAGCCAATTCACCATAATTCAGAGAGAAGCCACAACTTGCGACATCATGGGTAATTAATCTGCCATATCAGGGTTGGAGCGTCCAGAACAGAAGCTTCAGACATCTTTTCATTTGGACAGTTTGCTGATGACTCGAATGAGAGCCCCATTCTCGTCCTTTAGCCTCATGTTGTCTGACTTGAGCTCTGTTAAGATCTGGGACAACAGGAAGAAAGAAATTATATTAGAAAATTATAGCATCATCACAGTTAACTGAGTGAGGAATATGACAAATGGTTTGTGAATACTGTGAAGTTTAAAATTTAAAGCTTCGGGTGGTAATGACACAATTGACCAGTACTATCCACTGTAATGATAAAATGTCATCAATCACCACCAACAACAAACGGACTAAAAGTTGTCTTTCAGTAAAATTTGAGGCCCGGTAATGAGGACATGCTTTACGGTACTCGATCATGCAAGTGAGGAGTGACTTTGACAGTATGTTCTGCATGTGAGAAGTGAAAGAGAATGTAGTGAAAGTCAAAGAGAGAGAAACTGAGAGAGGGTCAATTTCCCAAATCTAGGTCATGTCTCTCATGAGGAGCAATGACTAAAAATAACCACCCTCTTTGCCAAAGTATTTCCCCTCTACTAGAGACAAACAATAACCCTCTGCTCTATTACCGAAAACTGGTGAATGAGCAAAGGCATTTGGCATCAATATGTTCATAACCTATGGCAAATCACATGTTTGGAGCCCCTTTTCTATTATGTTTTCTCTCTTTCTCTCCACAGTATACTGAAAAATGTTCACAAAACCAAACACATAGAGAAGCAAAATCTGTCACATGTATATGCTTGTGTCTCACCCAGTGGCACAGGACTTGTTCATTTTGAAGGCTAATGATCTCACACATTTCATTTCCTTTGGAAGATTGACTAGAATGGCTATTTCCTTGGCAAACAGCTTTATATTGATTACACAGCACATAACACAGGTCCCACATATATTTCACTGTTGCAAGATCAATAACCTCTAAGAATGTGCGTATTCATTATGGTGCAGATTGCTACTTTAGATGTTTAATTTAAAAGATAACCAAGAAAAACAACGACTCTCAATGCAGCGTTCATGTCATGTGAAGCCCCAAGCAACATGAATGTAGCTAAAAATAAACTTCAAAGGAGGCTTATGAGAAATGTTTTTGGGGGGAGGGGTCAGCAGGGTGGCCTTCAGATTGCCATAAAGGAGATTGGGTTAAAAGAGTGCAGAGGGAAATGCATTGCAGTGTGGGGGAAGTGAGCATCAGGAGGGTGCAGGACCTGCCTGAGAGGAACACAGCAGAGGACGAGGGGGCTGTAGAGGCACCAGAAGGAGAGAGGAGTGTAGAAGTTATGTGGCTGAGAAGGGGAGAGGAAGGGGAGAAAGGAGGACACATGATGTCAGTGGATCAGAGGTCCTCTGTCTCCGGCATGGAGGCCGTCTCAGAGAGGCGGGCGAGGACACGCAGCATGGCTCTATTCTCAGCCAGGAGACTCTCGTTCACCCTCCGCAAGCTCTGGACCTGAGCCAGAGCAGGGAAAGCCTGCACAGAGGAGGAGAGATATACAGAGAGGGGCAGACAGAGAAAGCATGCAGGGAGGCAGGCCATGTGCAAAGAGAAAAGACTCATATAGAGACCGTATACATATCCACTCATACAGGCATGCGCCCACACACCTACACAGACAGGAGCAAACAACAACAGATCTGAGGGACTTATCAGCAGAACTTATATAAGCAAATTACACAACAGGGAGATTTTGAGAAGAAAAAGGAAAAGCTGAAAATCAGGAAAAGGAAAATATGAAGCCAGTTCTGCTTGGGTTTGTACTCATCAAAACTGGGCTGTGGTGAAGAGCTAAAGTGTTATTATACGCATAGCTTTGCAAAGGAGAGGGAATTAAAATTCCTACAAATTCACATAACCTAAAACTACTATTTCACGCTTCGCATAAGAGCCTAGTCGGTTATAAGTTGAAGGAAAAGAAATGATTCATTTCCCTTTCCTCTTGGCCTGACTTTTTGAGGTAAACCTCAATGTGGTTCGACAGAAATGTCTGTGGTTTGACGCGATTGCTAAGGGTAAACCACAGAACACACACACATAAACACACACACACACACACACACACACACACACACACACACACACACACACACACACACATACACACACACACAGGGCACTTGTAATGTTTCAGGCTACCCAAACACAAGTTTGTAGACCTGAATATGGCCACGAATGAGGTTTAAGAAGGGCTTCCAGCTGCTTCTTACAATACCAAAACACATTTATTAAAGCAATTTGAAGCTAGCCTGTGTTTGGGACCTAACCGTTCATGCATATAATGTTCTCTTGGTATTAGAATAAAACAGTTCACTTTCTGGAGAGGTGCCCTTGGCAAGAGGGAATAGAAGAGCAGAGTGAGGCAAGAAAGCATAATGACTGGTATCCTTTATTACAATCTCTTAATATTGAGCTCTTTGATATTAAATTAGATCTGACCACACTCTGAAGTCTTGCAGATAATTTTACACAGTTACAATTAATTATGTTTCAGATGATGTCAAGAATAATTCAGCCTTTCTGTAAGAAATATTAAACCCTGAAAAGTAATCTGACACTAACACATCGACACTATTTCGAAAGGGAAAACAAGGACACAGTTTTACTGATGTGAAACACCTGAAACCAGAACCAGTCGATTACAGATCTGCACTGTCAGCAGGTTCAGACCTGACGAGGTAGTTCCAGTCCAACCTTCACCCATCAATTGCAGTTGAAGCCGGGCTTGTATGCAGCATCTTTAGGCAGGAAGTGTAATAGTTTTTGCACATTTTGATGCTTTTTCACCTTGCAGAGTGTCACAACTGCAGGTTTTCAATAGCTATTCACACAAAACAGCAGCAGCAGTTGTAACACTCACAGTTTTGTAGGTGTTAAAATTACAGCAGCTGTTACTTTGTTTGCCTGTGGAAAACAACACTGACATTTCCGCATCTGCGCGATCGTGAGTGCGCTATCTTTCCTTTCCAGTAGGTGGTGTAGGTTGTCACTAATCTGACAATGACTGGGACAGCTCTGCCTTGTGGTGAATCTGTAACTCGCTAAATGTGAACAAGTGACTTTGTGAGTGGGTGACAAGCCAGCTTTCTGGCGTGCTTTTCATTTAAGGAAAGTAAAAAAAAAAGGATGTGTGCCTGTAGCATTTACAGTCTCAAGTACTTAGAGCTTATGATGTGATGTACATGGGTGTCCACACGTGTAAACATGCCCGGATCTCTGACAGAACAGAATCATGTGAGGTGACAGGCAGGTGTCAATCACTCTTCTGCGTCATAGCGACCACTCACCATCCCCCATCCCCTGAGACAGCCTGCTCTCAGGGCTGGTACCCACAGCGGAACCGCAGTGGGGCATCCTGCTGAGGGAACCACGACAACATGGGGATGAAACATCTGCTGGTGGCTTGTGGCCTATTTATGTCCTCGACACTGTCTGCATGTCATATTTTCTCTGACCAGAACTATGATTTTATTTTTCTTGAGGAATATATGACATAAGTATATAAGTTTCCATCCAAATGTAGTGCAAACCTTAACAGAAAACCTACAAAAGAAATGCAAATTAGTGCACGTTTCCAACTGGTACTGTTATGCTATTATTAGGAGGTTTCTCGGGGACACTAATTTTCCAGTCAGGTGCATTTAAACCATTGCAGAAGACAACAAGATGACCTAATTGTGACTGTAAAAGCACCAGTCAAACCTCAAAGGGTTAAAAACACACTATGTTTGTTTCATGTATTAATTTGAGGAAGGTCACAGTTTCGTCATCGCTCCACACAAATCAGATTTTTTTAATCTATTTTAGGCTCTTCAGTCGAGGTTTCAGTCACATGCTTCATGTACGTCATGGTTTATTTGTCTGTTTCCATTGCACTTGGTTGCAATTTGCTTTTTTAATACGCCAACTCTTGCAAAATGAAAATAAAAACAAGTGGTTGGAAGCCCACTTAATATAGCTGTAATTTGCACTAACAATCAAATTATAACCTCATTGTGCAATTTGTCACTGCTTGCACAAACTACACACATACTGTGCAGACCACATCTACTCAGGCCTGAAATCTCTCTGCTGCTGCTCTGCCTTGTGTTTCTTTGTGAAGCAGAATACACACAGTGCAGTGCAGGAATGTCTCACAAAAGCAGGTCTTTTGCTCTTGGACGGGGTTTGGTATTCAGCTGGAACTAGGTCACAATGTTCACCCCAACAGTGGGATAAGTGGAGCAGGGGAGCAGCAGCACAGGCTCCTCCTCAGCCTGGCAGGAAGTGGCCCAGCACAACACTGTGGGTAATGAGCCTGAAGCATTAACCTTCCCTCTCCTTGACTCCAAACCCACCTGGCTAACCAAAACCCTGCAGTGTGCTATGTGTGTGTTTTGCTCTGTAAAAACACTTTAGGCGTGCTTGATTTAGCATAGGTGAATGAGGCTTGGCTGGAGGTGTGTATCTAAGTACTGTTAGTGTTGGGGGGGGGGCACACCTCACTGAGATAAATGATGTGCAACTTGTATCAGACATAAAATATGCCATTTAAACCCAGGGTGAGTCTGCAGAACATATTTTTGCATGCACTGACCTTTAACTCATCCTCCATGTTTGACACTCTTTTCTCTAGAGCTTGTTTTTCCTGTAAATAAAAAAGAAACAACTAAACAAAAATGTGTGAGGAGCCAGTAGACTATAATTTGCAGTACTTATGAAAATTACAGGGGAACAGACTAAGAACAGATTTTGCAGAAGAGTGTGATCAAATAAAATACCAAAATGCCAAAAAGTTGGTTTTTTTTACACTTACCCTTTTCTCTGAATCAAGTACTGAAGATCTCTCTGATATTCTGTCCTGCCTCTAAAAGATAGAATTGTGCTGTTATTGTATTTGGAAAAATATCGAAAGACTATATATAGGACAGGACGTTATCATCTTTCAGTTTTTAGTACCTGAGTGACTTTCTCCAGCTGGGAACGTATTTTGACCAGTTCTTGTTTGCTGTCCTGCAACCTGGACTTGAGCCTCTCATTCTCATGCAAAGCTTCTGCATACATCTGAAAATGAACAGAAAAGGCTTTATTTCAGAGATTCTTCTAACGCATAAAGTCCTTTTTTTATTAATCAAAATTGTATTGATTTTTTAAGATGGGGGGGAAAATGCATGTAAGCAGTAGCAAGTGTCAGGTATTAAATAAACAAAAAGGACCTTATGTAATAAACAGTAGGTCTTTAAAAATGTTTAAAATGTTTTCATGAACAGATACATTGTCTATCTATATAGATAAAATAATTAAAGCCAAAGCCCAACATACAGTTTTAACATTCTTGTTTTTATGACAGAGTTTTATTGGATATTATATCGATGTTACCATGGTCTGCAAGGTAAATGACTGTTTTTGTCTATGGAGTCTGGTGGCGAGTGATTTCTGGTCTGGCAAATGGCTGTTTCTGGTTAAACAAAAGGTCTATTTCTGTAGGGATCCTTTCCGTAATGTTGTCAATGGAAAAAAAACAAGCACCTTTAATGGACATACTTTGACAGGCACATTTGTCCCAGATTAGCGACGCTTCAGCCAATGCAGCCCATTTTATGAATATATTCACATCTAACTTGGTGAATGAAGGGTTTATTATTCGACCAAACCAGCATTGGTGATTGTTGGAAAGATTGTGAAAGACTAACAATGACAGTTTTGGTGAGTATTTTGTTTCTGTCCAGTTTGAATTGTGTTTTACGATTATCTGCGAGGTAAAATGAATGCAGTCTGGTAGCCATAGAGCTCAGTTGTTTTATTGTTTTGACAAGATGCTGTGCTCTAGTGTGACATTTTGTAGCAGTGTATTTGTACATAACCTTTCAGCTAGATTGGTTATTTTATATCTATATATACAATCGATTTGTGATTTCATAATTACATCAATATTTATTGATATAATGAATAAATCAATGTAATATCAAAAACATTATCCAGAACCAGCTGATGCTGCTGATGTACATGCAAGAGACCAGTGTCAAATCCTTTATATAGCATTTCTAATGTTGATACACTTATTATATATTACCATATGGCTATGTGTGTTTCTTTTCTTTCAGTTTAATATGTACTTCATATATTACATATATTACCTATATTACACATTAGATGCTATTTTAGTCATATATAGATGTTACATGTGTGAATACTTCAGTTTATTAACAAATATTTCAAGAATTAAGATTTTAATACTGTGAGTTATCTAAATCTAATTAAATCTCCATCTGTTTGCCCTTGTTGGAATGGTATAAAAATAGATCTGCATGGTGATCCAACAGGTCGGGACCCCAGCTGTCTGCACCACATGAATCATGCAAGAGGGATTGTGCTTGTTTAAACTGAGAGTTACTACCTTCTTATAGTCTTTGGTAGTGGAGTCTTGCTCCTGTCTATTCAGAGCGGCCAGCCTCGTCTCCCTCCGTGTGTAAGAGCTGGTGCGGCCCAATGGTTTGTCTGTTGCATTCTCCCCACTGGAGTCATATCTAAAGCAACACATTCAGCACACAATGCTGCTTTATTTAGGGTGTTTATTTTTTATTTTTTATTTTTGTCAGGAAATACAGTTCAGTTCAGTTTGTATTGGAGATTAAAAACAATGCTAAATCCTTACCTTGACAATCTGTCATGCTGAAAAACAAAGAATAAACCATGTTAGTCTGATCACTCTGCACCACAGCATGGGAACAACACAGTGTAAAAAATGTTCTGTCGTGGTTATATCCAGATTTATTTGTTTGATAAGCCCAAACAGAGGCTTGGCAGTGAAATATATTCCATTTTGAGACTACAGAGAACACAAACTTCCAAGTGAATTATCACAGTGAGTTCAGAGGCCTAAAGTCCCAGAGGAAAGAAGGGCATGCTGAAGTGAGATATAATTCACCCCAACACTGCAGCGACAGGGTTCACCCAGGTCAAACCTCGCTGGTGAGCCCGGTTAATCTTTTAGAACAGGCGGCTGCCACGCAAATGCCTACAGTATAAAGATGACATCATGACATCAGTAGCTAAGTATCTCCTGTGTGACGGGTCGACGTCTGACCTCAGTCAACAGACTGATAGCAGACTGTCCTGGCAGGTTTTTGCTAGTCCAGTGTACATGGCTGCCAAGTTGCCTGTTGTGATCACATACTGAATTTGTTTTCCAGTCCAGGTATTGTGTTACATTCAGAGGAGCTGTATGTGTATTTTTTCTCTTACTGGATTTCACTCAGGTCTCATTATATTACCTCAAAGATGTGCAGATAATTAATTATCACAGAATCTGTAGGTGTAGTTTATGTGTCTACTGCCTCCCTAGGTTGTGTGTGCAGAATCTCCAACATCAAATTTTATGCCTAGCCAGGCCCGTTTGTGCACCGAACAAAACTGAACAAATAGATAACTCACTGCCATCAGCTGCTAAATGTGGCACATGAGAGGATGATAACTGGAAGTGTTTACTATCAGTCAGAGACTGGAAAAGAGAGACGGAGCAGGAGGGAGAGTATGACGTAAAAGAGGCCAGACTGATGCATGATGTCTTTGCAATATCTGATGCAGTCTCGTAAACTTTACTCCTAAACACAAAGATTTGGAGTTGCTCTCTTGCCAGGGAAAAAGGGCTTTAAACACCTGTTTGGACACGCTTTGCACTAAACGTCTTGTGCGGTGGTCCAAGCTGTTTGAGACAAGAAGCAGATGTACAGTAGACTGGCATTAACAGCATTATGTCAATTTATGTCCAAAGAAACCGAGTTCACAGTTGTTCAAATCTGCACTCACAATTGGCGAGTTGGGGGATATTTCATGCAGCGTCAAAGGAGCTATTCCTCTGCAAGTGTTTACATAACTAAGCCAGCGCTGCCTGTCCTTATGTGGTCATGTGCTTAAGCAGAGCCATCCAGGAAAAAACAGACCTCTATGACCTCAGATGAAAAAGGGCCAAGGATGGAGCCAAGAGGAGCTCTAACTCACTCCAGTCTCTTTGTGCAATGGTGAGGAGATTCCACGATCAGATTTGGTGTTCATTCATTAATCAACAGGGATGATTGGCCCCCTGGTTTTATGAATAAATTATCTTGATGTCTGCTTTTGGGCATATGAACTGTAACACAGCCCTTCACCAAATTCTTTCAAGATTAGAAGTTCCTGCATGCAAACCTATTTCACACTAAAGGATTAGCAAATTGGTGAAATTAGTTTTTTAAAAACTTAATTCCAGTGAAATCTTAAGTGAGTCTGGTGGGATTTATAGGACAGGAAACAGTAATACACGCTCTTACATGTATGTCTGTATCCAAATTGAACCAAAGCCAGAAACTGAATCACAGTTGCAATTCTACTTCTGATAGCAGCTGCACCAATGTGATTCCCTTGTTAGGAAAAAATAGAGAAGTCAGAAGTGGCAGATGTAACTCGGCAAACTATGTGAGGCAGAGCAGATGCAGGAGGAGACGATCAACTAGGGGGAAGAGAAAAACAACAGGATGTCGAACTGATGGGAACAGCCTCCAAACGGGTGCATGCTTGAACCACGGGCGCTATGTAAACACAACTGCTTCCAGTTTTATGGTTTGCCAGTACCAACATCATACACACCAGGAGGGGTGCTGCATGAGCTCACTGCTACAGTGTATAAATGATAATGTAAACAGCAGTTTGCAAGAGCCAATGAAATCATCATCAAGAGACTCTTCACCTTCTCTCACTCTCCTCTTTCACTACTTCCCCTTCGTTCTGTCACAGCATCACTCCTTCAGAGCTGACTGGATTTTGTAGTAGGAAAATCTGAGCTACACACACACACACACTCTCTCTCTCTCTCTCTCTCTCTCTCTTCTCTCTCTCTCTCTCTCTCTCTCTCTCTCTCTCTCTCTCTCCAGCCCCTCCACTGGAACTGACACGGCACACAAAACCATAAAAGACGTTTCTTCCACATTCACTCACCTTTTCTCACTCCTCCTTGTCTATTAACTCTTTACGCTACATCTGAGCCTTTTGTGGCCACTGACAGCATCTTCCTCTTTTGTCTTTTTCAATACCACTGAACTGCCTCACATTGAACGGTTGGAGAAGTATTACAACGTAGGGGTCAGGACCCCTTTAAAAGGGTCACAAGATAAATCCGACTAGCTGTGAGATGATTAATGTGATGTGTGAACCTGGATTCTGCCACAAAAATTTATATATACAGTATATTTTAAATGATTCTTTAAACTTTGCTTTTTTTTAATGAAATATTGGATAAATTTACCTCCGTGGCCTTTCCAATTGTATATTTAAAGAAACCGTCTTAGAAGTTTAGAGGTAAAACATATATTCAGTGAAAGTGCCATAACTCATAGACATCTGAACTCATAAAGGCTGTTTTTTGGGGAAAAAGTCTCAAGCCAAAATGGTTGGTTTAATCTAATGTGTTATGCTTATCAGATATTTCCTTTAATGTAGAAAAAAATTGTGAAAACTAAGTAGAAGCTATAGCAGTGAAAAAAGTAAAATATTTCCTTCAGAAATGTAGTAAATATACTCAGTTACACAGTTCTCCACCACTCTGAACATCTGCCAAATGATCAGTGTCATCCAATGATGCAAATGTGTTCCTGTTTATACTCCTTCCTGTTGCTCACAGCTGTAACACACATTGTATTTTACTAAAAGGTACCAGTTTCACATCAAACAATTGCAGCAAGAGCTAAAAATACTGCATCAATCTGATTCCATCCCCTTTTACGTTACATTTTCTCTCTCATGAAAACTCAACCCAATTCAGATTGAGCTGACATCATAGAAAATAAACGACTTTCACCATGGATCTTGTCGGAGACACTGACAGAAAAGACAGCATCCACTGGTAGCATTTGTTGCTACAAACTGAGCTAGAATGAAAACATGTCTCTAAATTGACAGAATCACGTTGCCTCTTATATCTACATTTCTTCCTGTCCCTTTAAATGTGGCTGTCACAAAGAGTACAGTTCAGTCTGGTGCTCTGACATAAACACAACAGCCAAAACAACACCCATGAGAATAAGCCACTTAGACAGAAAAAAGAAATAACAGGAAATTACAGAAGGAATGTTTCAATCCAAAAGTCTTTTCCAGAAAGTGTGGTCAGACTCTCATTGCTTCAGAGCAAATACTCGCCTCTCATTCACAGGGTCATCAAATAAGCTCAGCTGATGAGTGCTTCACAAGTTATTTAATTTTAATAAACTCATTTAGTAAATCAAAAGTGGCTGATTAATCATGTAAATTACACATAATCATGTTGAAATTAGGAAATAACTCTCTTCCTGTTTATGAAATGATAGATTATTTGCCTGTTTAACTGAACTCCCTCACTCACAATGGCACATGTAAAAACACATAAATACTTTGGCTTTAACTAACAGTCAATTCATCTGCCAGTTATTATCTTGAATAATTGTTTTGATTTAAAAATGTTATTAAATTCTGAGAATACACTTTCATATAATTTTCAAATCCAAGGTGATGTCTCTAAATTCTTTGTTTTAAAGATATTCAGTGTACTATCTTATATGACAAAGAAAGGTAGTCATTCTTCACATTTGAGAGGCTGAAATCACAGAATATTTGGTAGTTTTCGCTTTTTATTAAAACGATTAATGAATTATAGAAATTGCTGCCAATTAATTTTCTGACCAACCAACTAACCAATTAATTGTTTTAGTCTGAATCCAGAAAAATATCTATCAATAATAACCCGGCAAGAAACAAGAAATTGGGTGCTTTCTTTAAGTTTCTGGACAATACAAAGTCACTTGACAGCGAATAAATAAACTAAGCTTCACTAACAGCTTCATGAAAATAAATTACACATACACAAATATGACATTAGACACGTCTATACTGTTAAAATGGTGGTGAAATCATAAAGTTTAAAATCTAAAAGTTGTATTTCTCCAAAAGAAAAGTGTCTGGTCTTACTCTGTAGTTTTTGTCTGTAGGGGATGGAGAGGATGGCGGTGAATCTGTCAGTGACTTCCTGGTGCGAGTCAGGTCCTTGGTGCGTGGGTAGTAGGATGACATCTCCTTCCTCTACCCTGGACAGGCAGGTCAACTTCTACTGTAACATTCACTGAAGCCACCAGCAGATAACAGCTGTACAGACGCACAGATTCCCTCAAGCAACAGTGACGCAGCTGCCCATTACTGCAATCCTGGGGAATCCTCAGCAACAACAGGTGTGTGTATGTTGTGTGTGTGTGTGTGTGTGTGTGGGTGGGTGTAGGTGTGTGTGTGTGTGTGTGTGTGTGCGTCTCAGTCCAGCTTCACAGTCCCGTGAGCTAGAGAAAGCTGCAGCTAAGTTTGGAAGGATTTTAAAAGTGTGGTCACGCCTTCTTCAAAGCTCAGACAGTGAAGAAATTATCAGATAAAAATGCAACAGAACAACAACACTAAATAACTAAGAAATAACTCTTTAACTAGTAAAGCGAGCAAATTATCATCCCTTGTCTCCGCTCTGTTGACACTGAGGTATTTGATGAAATGTGAAAAAGTCCAAAAGGAAGCAGCCAAGAGAGAAAAGTTTGTTCCCAATGCTGTCTCTTCCTATGTTTCCCAAAGTTATACACACACTCTCTCTCTCTCCATCTACCTCCCTCCCTTGCTTTCTCTCTCTCCTTCTCCTTTCACTGCTTGGTCGCCCTCCCAGTCCCTCCAACCCCTCTACCTCCACCCACCCGGCTTCTCCCTGCTGTCTTCAGCTTTGGCAGCCTGCCAGAGGCTCTGCTATGGCAGGACTCGGCACCGAGGGCTAAAATTGTCCACTGATGTGGACTGGGATATGGGGAGGTGGAGCACAAAGCTAGAGTCGGAGGGGGGGCTGCTGCAGTTTGTGTCCTGGAAGGTCAACACACAGTATTACCTGAGGAGCCATCAACAACAGTGAGGTGTCAAGTAACTCTGTACACCCTACAGTGTGATGGAGAGGAGAGGCTGTAAGTAAAAGTGGTACAAAGTGATCACATGCAGCCACGTTTCCTCTTACCAAATGATGTTTAATTTATTATCACATTTTGATTTTGGCCTACAGCTCTGGTAATTTGGCTCATCCTGTGGCCTAATAAGGTTGGTTGGTTTCTTCAAAGTCACCTTCTAATTAAAGGATGCTTATTTGCTTTCTTACCAAAAGTTAGATGAGGAGATCGATACCACTCTCATGTCTGAAACAATAAATACTGTATGAAGCTACCATACAGCAGCCTGTTAGCTTAGCTTAGCTTAGCACAAAAACTGGAAATGGGGAAACAGCTAGTTATGTGTGAAGGTAACAAAATCTTGCCTGTTAGATTTATCTTTTCTGTTGAATTTGTACAAAAACCAAAGTGTAAAAACACAAAGTTGTGGTTTACGGGTGGATTTCACTGCAGCCCGCCAAGAAATAACGTGGCAAGTAAACCCTGTAAAACTGCAACTTTTTGTTTTTACAGTTTGGTTTTTGCACAAATTAAAAAATCCGATATACCATTTTAATTAGTGAGCTGTAGACGTTCTGGTAGGCAGATTTTGTTATCTCTGGAATGAATCAGGCTAGCTCTTTCCCCTAGGTTCCTATCTTTATGCTAAGCTAAGCTAATCGGCGGCAGACTGTCACTTCACATTTACCTTACAGACATGAGAGAGTGGTATCAAACTCTCGGTAAGAAAACAAATAAACGTATTTCCCAAAATGTCAAACTGTTCCTTTAAACAACCCCCCTTACTTTTTATCCCACAGTCTGCACAAGGCGATCTTCCTTTTATAGTGAGGTTTGCAGCGCCTTGCTGTTCCCTCATCCTTGCTCAGGGCAAATAGATAGAAGGAAAGATAGGAGTAACACAGAATTACACAAAAACACAGAAGGGGGGAAAATAGAAAAACTAAACCAATATGAAAGAGAAAGCAAAATAAATGAAAAAGACTTCTAGATTATTTACCAAAAAGACTGTGGTGACATGATGTGGCTCTCAGTTTAGTGGTAATGAACAATCCACACACAACACATTAACATAGAGACACTACTTTATCCCCAAGTACGCTTACTTGCCTCGTAAGCTCTTCATAGCTCTGTTCATAGTTTTGGTTCCTGAACTATTCTGTATTGTATCAGTGATACACTGTGTGGCATTTTGTGGCAGATGATGACCCATGTAAGTTCAAAAAACTGAAATGGGCTATAATAAACATCTGGTATATACAGTATACAGAGAATGTGACTTGGTGGCAGTGAACTACACTGGCGTTGTTGTTGGGGAGTTTTATTAAGAGTCAATCCCAACTGGAGTCCCCCTAGTCTGATCCTCACTCTTAGTTTCAGGACTTTCCATATGGGATATTATTCTCATGCATTTCATGAATACAGAAAATGAGCAACAGAAGCTGCTACCAGAGTTGAGTACTTGATTTTTGGAGTTAATGAGGAAGAGCAGGACGCCCTACTAGCAGGATCTAATTACTGATATCCCATCCAATATAACGTGGTACTGTCGCAGACAAACTGTCTGCAAAGGTAGTCTTGCTTGCTCTGTCTCTGTTTATTCCTTCTATCATAATTGCCACCAGCATCAACAATGCTACACCAAGTAGTAAATTCTCTAGCTGACTTGCTCTACACCTGTCTTTCTCTCTGTTGCTGAAAATCAATGTGGAAAATCTGCTCAGATCATCATGGAGTCATGCAGAGGTCGGCTCTGGTGATGAGCTGCCTGTCATGCTTCTGATGAAACCTCACTGCTCGGTATGATTATCACAGACAGATATAGTCCTCTCAGTAACGCTAAGAGACTCTCGTGTTACTAACAGATCACTGTTTTAGATTCCACCATGGCTGTGGCACAGCTGAACCCTGGAGTCAGTTCACAGGAAACGACTTTCAGTTCATACTATATAATCTTGTAAAAGTCACTCTTCGCTACCTTATCGCCTCTGTGTCTCCTCTCCTTCCTGTTCACTGTGATATCTATTTTTATCTTCTTTTTAGAAACACAAAGAAATAGAATATCCTCTATGGAATTGCTAGGCTGCACCCAGTAGGAGTGACAGGTTCAGGGTTCTTCACATGCAGTGCACAGGTGGAGAGAGCACAGTATCAGTTTAGAGGGGAAAGAGAAGAGAAAGTAAATCCCTCTGAATCCAGGGCTAAGACTAAGCAGAGAGCGTCTCAGTTTTGCCCAATATGGTATGGAATGCTGAGACACCTCAGCCATGTGATGTGAAGAAGCAAAGCGACTTAGAGGGAGGGTTGGTGGGGGGGTTGGTCTTCCTGGACTGTCTTTCTATGAGACATTAACCAGCACTTCTACTTAAAATAATCTGTAAACCCATGGTTCATGTCTATGATTGCAGTACATCTCAAAATATTGCGTCAGAGATCAGAGCTTTGCCTTTGAAGCATACTTAGCTTCTGGGGTGAGGGAGAAACAGGACGTGGATGTGAAACAATGGCGCTAATGAATATTTAACAATAAAATGATTGTGGCATAAGATTCTCAGCTGTGAGGTATTTAATATTGGGATGCCTTCGTCACAAATAGAGATCATTTTTACTTTGTTGACGATAACCAAAGTATGTCATGAGCACACTTAAATTTAGAAACATATTCTCAAAGGATCTCAATGTATTCGAGCGTAGTTTGTATCAAGTGAACTGTAAATACTCAGTTCTTTAGGCATGAAAAGATAAAATATCAAAGTCTTTTGGCTCCATCTAGTGGCCCTATGGGAAAACAACAGGAAATAGATTGCCACCAAGCAGAGTGGCTGAAATCATCTTTTTTTTATGTGACTGTTAAAAGAGCACAGTAGTTTCCACGTACCTCCGCAGTGTTGAAGTCTGAACCTTCGACATCGTAGCAGTGTCGTCTCTGTTGCTGCTTTGTAGCTAAGCTGAGCTGTGCTGCATCTTCAACAGGGTTCTGATTTTCATCTCTCCACCATCTCTCACCAGCTGCACATATAAAGTAAGTGTATCTATTCATCACTGCTGAAAATGTTCAGTGACACAAACGCTTATTGACAAATGTATCTCTAATGTTCTGTTTGGGTACTGGAGACCATCTTTCTTATAGCTCAAAAGACATATTTAGCTTTCGGTAGTTTTATCCCCCTGATATTAAGGACTTAACCTAATATTATGAACACTGCATAGAAACCTAATGAACTGATGATATGATTAATTATTTGCATTATTTTTATTAGGCTTTTGATCTATAATTGGCAAAGATACCTCTCCCAAGTTATAAATATAGTAACATATATATGTATATAGTTATCAGGATTTCTGAGTTTTATCATAGTTTGCCATATAACTGAGCTCAAACATAAGTAATGTCACTGCCCTACATAGTTATATAACATACTCTACATTTCTTTGTCTGTGAATGACATTTTGGCAAATCCTGTATACACAAAGCTCATTTAACCTATAAAACATGAATTATGGACATTTCTGTAATTGGTCAATTTGATAATACGTACAAACCCATTTTACCACTATAATATCTCTCTACATATTGGGTTTTAATTAGTTCAGATATATAAATATTATGAGGTAGCAGTACGGTGTGGAACCCCAAACAGTAAATCCAGTGTCAATAAAACACACACGCACAAACCATTAATGCTTTTCTGACCTCTGAATGAGTTGTTGCAGTAAGTCAGACCACAGGATCCAGCAACAGACGAATATGAAAGGTTTGGTATTGAAGACTCAGTGAGGGTTTCTAACCTGGGTTCAATGTTCCCCTGCTGTACATGCGTAAGAGAAAAATGAAGAACTTGATGATGAATAAACAACCTCCAAACTTACAAACCAACCATTTCAGTAGCAGGAAGAGTGATTTTCTGCATTAATTTCTCTTGCTAACCTCGTCCATTTTACTCCATTTTGGACTTATCTCTGTTGTTTCCGTGGACTCTGTCAGGCCGATTATTACTCTCCTGTCATCTGTCAAGCCTTTCCTCAGACAGGACCTTTCATCCAGAGTGTCTCCTTCCTCCATCTGTCTGTCTTGAGGAGCCAGACTAATGGTCTTCTGAGCCTCTTTCAGGTCTGTCAGAGTCACACCCTGCAGGACATACAACCTAATATCCGTCAAGAGTCAAACAAAATCCCATAAAACCTAAACTTCTGTAAATAATTTGTTCTCTACAATACCTGTGTTGACCTGCGGGTCTGTCTGGCATGACGAGACTTTGCTTTCCTCTGAGACTCCGCTTCTTCATCCCTCACTGGGGTCAGATACAACCTGAGTCAGTGGAAAAAACAGTAAGATTTTAAGTAATAAGGCTTCAACAGGGAACCATGACAGAAATGCACACAGAGGGTAAATACAGCAGAGAGAAACATATATATATTATATATTATAATGTTATCAATCTTTAATAGAATGGGGAGATTTTAGGTAACAAACTATATTAATTGGATGCAAATAATATAGGTTAATACTATGTATTGTGTAAATTATTATTTATTACTATTTCTAAAAGGTGTCAGTGTTAAACCTTAACAGTCAGACTCACTTTTCAACATTTTGTGTTTTGACTTTTAGACATACAGAAAGAACTTTAATGTTACTTGTTACTGTACAATTATGTATTAATATGATATCCATCTTTTTTGTTACATATAACAACAAATACAAAACTGCTGTCATTATAATTTCAAAGGGGAACTTCAATACATTTTAAAAAGCATAAAAAGGTTTGGGCTGAGTGATACATGATATATTTTCAGTGTGGACATTATGGCTGCAGCAAACTGTTAAGGGGGCCCTGGGCAAACATTTGTTGTTGGGGCCCAAATGATCCCAAATTCTCAAATACCAGACCAACTACTCCAGTACTGCAATAATAACACCTGGCTCTAGGTTTTATGTGTGTTTTACACAACATTATGAAGAAATATGCACCATGGAAGCACAATATGAACTGAAATAATAAGGCCACTAAGTAATAATGGAGGGCCCATTTTAATTTATACTGTAATTATATATATCCCTTTCTGCCAGTCTCCCACTGTGCCTATTTGCTAATCCAGTCTTGGTGGATATTTGCACATTAATAAAAATTAAATGATTTAATGAAACATAAAAGACTTGAAACAGACTTATGTTTGCTAAATGTATATAATAAAAAAATGCACATGTTTCTAATAATAAATGCAAGAAATCAATCTTCCTGCTGTGTGTCTTTAATTGTGGCTTCATGCTGCCTCAGCAGCATCCCACTGATTTACACCTACTTACTCTGATTTTACACGTACACATCATTTTCCCCTATACACCACCCAACATCTAATTTTAACAGGAAATACATCAAATTAAGGAAAAAAGATACTCTGAAAATGCGTTTTCGTTGTGACTTTAAGACATGAGCACGATTTCTCCCAGTGGCCTAACAGATACACAGAAAGAGCTGAGCAAGCATCAGCGGAGAGGCTCATGTTTTACCCAGAGAGGTGCCTGCCTGCCCCTCCTCTGCTTAGCTTTTACTGGTATTGATCTCTCAGTTGTGAAGTCACCCTGAAGCCTGACTGAGAGTTATCGGGCTGGTCAGCAGCACTCTCTACTGTATAATGTATAAAACACAAGATATGGACTCCATGACCACGCACAGTTCTATAGGTTGATACCAATAATGACACAGTAAAAGGATAAACCACAAAACAAGACAGCGTCATCACAACTGCTGATGCTTACAAAGATTATTTATCTGCATAACAATTATAATCAGGAGTAAAGTTATCCACCCACTCTGCAATCTGTAACGCATACACAGCAAAATTGTCCTCCTTTAAGCCACATAATAAAAAATAATTTAATAAGCTAAAAAATAGTTGCTAAGAATAATATCCTTAAGCCAATAATTACTAATGTACATAAAAAAGGCAAACAAGTAGATCAAAGAGAGGAATTCCTTATCAGTCCCCAAAGCAACAAACTACAGGCTCACATTACATCAGTTCAAAGAGGCCTATACAACACCTGTACAGAGCATAGTTGCTCTACATCAAGATGACAATCATGAGGGCTAGGAGCTTTGCCAAAACCGTGGCTTGTCAGGCTAAATAAATTCTGAATCCCGGAATAAAACAGCATGACTCAGTCTTTCCTGAAACGTACCTGGGAGCAAATGCTTGCATGGTGCCTGTGGAAGGTCAGAGACTGAGGCACTGAGACACTGCAGTAGTGATGAGTGGGAGAGGCTGGACAAAATGACTCTGTAACAGGCTAGAGTGCAGAAAGAGAGAGGGGGGGGGAAGGAGAGGAGAGAGAGAGAGAGAGAGAGAGAGAGAGAGAGAGAGAGAGAGAGAGAGAGAGAGAGAGAGACTTCCGGCCTATCTGGAAGATGCACACACAATCAATTTAGATTTTCTGTCTACCAAGATCTGATGCAAGCAATTCAGTTGAAAATGTGTGCAGAAAACACATTTCTGGACTCTGGTAATAGTAACTCATGTGTGTTGCAGTCTGACTCTGCTATATATACACACATTATGTTTGGGAGGGTTACCTGCCTTACCTGCCCATGTGGGTGTAGCTTTCAGAAACTTAGAGAAGACTGCTCTTCTGGGAGTAACACTCTCTCTCTCAGCCTGGCCTACAGCACAGGCCCTCAGCCCTTCTCTTTGTTTGGTTTGTTGCATTACACCACATTTCACTCAACCACACACCTCTAACATTACTGATATGACTGATATCTTGACACATCTCACCATTTAGTTGATATGTTTGGATTTGGAGTTAAATAAATTACTTTTTGACTGGTATATCTGGGTGTGGCCTTCCTTTTTGTTGCCAACCTCGAGCCAGTTACTAACAATTTGATGACATATTTCTATCTTCTCTGCAGAGTGCAGAGGAGGCACCGACTTATTCAGTCACAACAAAAATTTAAAGGACCAGTGTGTAGGATTTATTACCATCTAAAAACGCAAGAGACACCATCTACATCCAGTGTTTGGTTTGTGCGCTCTGGGCTACTGTAGAAACATGGTGGAATCTATGGAAGGCTAGCCGCGGCATCTGTAGATTAAAATGCCTCATTTTAAGGAAACAAAAACTACATTCAGGTCAATATACACTAATGGAAACATAGTTATGCATATTATATTTAATTTCTGCTTCTGCACACTGGACCTTTAAGTTAGGTCGAGCTAAGGAATTGTGTAACGTCTCCAATCTCACTTTAAGAGTTTTTTGGGTGATATTTAGGTTGTTCAAGCTGAATATAGTACATTGTTTTGATAAAACCTGAGTGCATTATTAGTTTTCACAACTGCAAAATAGTACAAATTCAGCTAAATGTATATTACAGTGCTTGAAAGATTGTTTCCTCCCACATACAAGATGCACATTGAACATGCTACAATGCACAGATAACCACAAATGTCTGGCTGTTTTTCCATCACAACTTAAGGATAAGATTTAAAAATATATATATATATATAACAGTTTCCTGTGCTTCTTTACTTACTGTTCAATAAAGGCGAAAAAGCCACAAAACACACACACACACACACACACACACACACACACACACACACAAAAATAAAATCTTTAAACAAAAACAATGTAGCCCCAGCCTGATATGGCTTTCAGCCCATTGCTTCCTGCTGAGGACAAATTCTGTTAGTGATATTCTCATCGGATTTGTTGATAATATCCTTTAACAAGACAGCATGGGGCTGAGATAAAAACAGGATTAACTCACAGTTAAAAGCTTCTTTATACAGTTTGTGGACTTGCTCATGCTAATTCTAATAAAATATCCAGGTAGGTAGGAAATGAGACCGCCACTTTTATCCAGCTTCCAGCACTGTTAATGTAATGTGATGAATATTAAATGTGTTTGACACAACAGCACATAGTCTAGTATACAAAAGTGAAAGAACCAGGGTTTATTTCAGAAACATGACAATGTGAGAAGTGCCATACTGCCCTAATCAATGCCTTGGCAAAACAGTGCATTTTGTAAAAGTGAGTATCAGTCTTAGTAAAAAAGTACAGTGATGTCCAAAAGTCTTACTATAATACCAAGAACTCTGTTGAATGACTTATCAGAAATGTATTCCACATTTGTGAGGCATGACTACACAAACATGTCATGTCTCCAAAGAAGTAATTGTATAACATATTTGATATTAATATTTGATATGTTAATTCTTCAAATCACAGCTTGAATACATTATTCACATTATTACATTTTTTTTCTTTAGATCATCTCAGACACACGGTCTTGTGATTTGACCTTATATTTTGCCTTTTATTTCTGTCTCCAGACAATGTTTAGTGGGGTTGAGATCAGGTGAGGCCATGAACAGCAGCACTCCACGCTCCTCCGTCAGATTTCCTGGCATAGTTTCGATCCATGCTTAGGGTCCGTGTCCTGCTGGAAAACTTCTTCTGCTGGAACCTAAAGCTAGGAGCTCTTGTCAAGACTCTGAAGCATAACGTAGTCCTTCTGTTTGGATCGTATGTGGCAGACCATGTCTATTTCAGCTACTGTTCAGCTCTGTTTTTATGAACTGTTGCAGTTCATCTGTAATAAAGACTTCTGGTTTTCAACAGTGACATTTTGGTAGTTTAGTCAAGGGACTGGTCTAGCCATTCAAGTGGGAACTACTACAAAACTAGCTATTTTTGTCATTTTCCTTTTACAGAATAGGTTAGCACAGCACAATTATATTGATCTTTATTTGCTGTTGCCAGTTTAGTTATAATTGTTTTGGATGAAAATGACTTGGTTGTGAAAATATCCCTCAAAATATAGCTGCTGTTGTTCAACACTGCAATAGCTGTCCGTCCATCAGGAGAGGAGTTAGTCCCTGAGGTGCTTCAGTGAGCTCTTCGGATAGTTACAAACAACTGCTTTATTTTCCTAAGTCAGTCAAAACATTAATAGTAGTGACAATAATGCATAGAATATCAGCTGTTAATCATTAAAGACACAGCAACACTACTTTATGCAAAGTCTGAACTGACTAAATAATGCTTACTTTTAAATAAAAGGTATTAAAGCTGTAGAATGATGTTGATGAAACCGAAGAGTTTTTGTTAGAGGGTTCAGTCTTTTAGACCACTGTATCTTATACTTCAGGTGTGTTCTGTCTGGCTGGAATTGTAATCAGTTACAAAAGTACTAAATCAAGCAGTACTGAATCACAGATATGTACTTTAAAAAGTAAAAAAAAAGAAAAAACTACTTTTGAAACAGGAATTATTATTTATCTTAACAAATATGCTTTTTTTCTTTTTTGCTAGTTGGCTGTTTTGCCTGTGTAAACAACTGGGATACATTAAGTTACGTTTTTTTTCCTCCAAAACATTTCAGGCAGTGACCAAAAGAAACACATTTTAATGTCACCAAGACAAGCATTACTTATGGCTTCAAGTGCATTGATAAACAGTTTATGCATTGGCTTCTTGATACGTCATTGGCTTTTAGTTTTCCAGTTTAGTACAGAGAATAACCTTGATATAAAAAAAAAAAAAGAGTGCTATGAAGAGTCGAAAATGCTCGTAGAAAGACAGTCATTCTTCGTACGGATTAAGGCTTTTGAGGTTGTTATTGGCAGGTAAACCCTGAATTACTAATTTTCTAACTTTATATCCATCTGATATTTTGAGGTACAGGTTTCAGCTCCGACTCCAGCGCAGTGACTGATTTCTTCTGACTAGGTCTGCCTTTCAAAGAGCAACCACATAATGAATACTGCACCTAAACAACAGCAATCAATAATGCCTTCCTACAGTATGTCATATTGTAGACTGTGACTTTAGACTGAGAAAGTTCCCATTCTTCTTGTTGGATGCATCCGGTGTGGAATTAAATCCCTTTCTGGTGACATGCACTCTGTAAAATATAAAACAAGAAAATATTAAAGAGGGATATGATAATATTTGATATATTTGATTTTGTTTGTTCTACCCAATGCAGTGATAAAATAAATAAATCCAATATTCATGGGAAAATAAAAAGTTCTCTCAATATTTTCATACTTACATTCATCCTCTAGTAAAGCATCATTTTCTAATTGTTCATCTCCTTCTTCATCTCCTTCCTCTGCCTCCTCTTCGCTGTGGCTCTCCTCTTCAGCTTCTTCGACATCCTGCTGTTCTTCATCCCTCTCTGACACTTCCTCCTCTACATTAAGTTTCTCCTCCTCAAGTGTCATCTCTTCCTGAACTGCTTCCTCTTCTACGCTTTGTCCCCCCTCTGCCATCTGTGTCGGATCCACTTCCTCCTCTTCTGATAAGGCAACAGACTCATCTTGCTCCTCCTTTACTGCCTCGACCTCCTCTGCAGGAGCTGCTTCATCTGTCACAGAGTCCTCCTGCTCGACAGGAGCTTCATCCTGTGCAGCTGCCTCTTCTTCACTCGCCTCTTCTTCTTTTTCTTCTTCATCATCATCATCATCATCTGCCACTACCTTTTCTTCTTGGTAGGATGCCTCTTCTTCTACACCTGCAGGAAGTGTCTCTTCTTCCACAGGAAGTGCCTCTTCTATTGGAAGTGCCTCATCTTCTAAAGGAAGTGGCTCTTCTTCTACTTCTACCTCTGCAGGAAGTGCCTCTTCTTCTACCTCTGAATCCGCAGGAAGTGCCTCTCCTTCTGCTTCTACAGTTGCAGCAGTTGCCTCTCCATCAGCTGCGGGAGCAACTTCCTCTGTCTCTGTCTGTTCCTCAGGCTCAGCAGAAGGTTGAGTTTCTCCCACCAGCTAATATGAGGAAAGTGATATGATACTTAATATTAGTTCATAGTAGAGTGGAGTTTGGACAGCAAATCATTTACAGGTCTGCTATCTGGACATCCAGGTGTCTCGGTAACATCATGCGACACAAGTATCTATGTGTATGAATGTGAGTGTAGAATCCATCTGAGAATCCTCGCCAGGCTATTAGCTCCTTTAAAATGAGATGAAAATCTCATTATGGTTCCCTATGGGCACACAGTGAGCAGAAATAGTAAAGAGACCATGTGCACTGACAGTATGTGTGTTAAGGCATGTCGGCATAATCTGCCATTATAGTTAATGTCAAATCTAATGATACACGAGGGTTTCTAAAATGGTCTTTTTGAAAACGTGTTTGTGGCAGTCTTCTATCTATAACCTATTTTATATTAAGATTAATGCGATTCAGTCTGGTTACAGACCCCTGTCTGCTTTGTTCAGTGATTCAAGAGAGCGTGACTTT